GGTTGTGTATCCCAAAGGTAGTCACAATGCAATATGTGTCACTGGAAATAGAGCATCTCATATAAATTTGTTCTCTGTTTTTACCTCTTCCAGATCTTCTAGTAACACAGCCATTGCATCTGTTTTTCACAGTAATCTAGGCAATCTTAGGTTCACTTTTTTCAAAAAGCAACAAAGGACTCATGAAAGACTATCAAGGAAAACTAGGTAGGATTTGATCATAGGTGCTACCACAAGTTGCATTAACAGACTATTGGAATAGTTAAGACTGATTATTGGGGCTTATCACTAGCTGCACTTCTGAATCTGTTATGTTAACTAGTCTTTGTGTTAGCATTGTACATTAATCTATATTTTTTCTTTTTAATCCCTCATGGAATAGATATTGTCTTCATTATAAATTATTTAATTAAAAGAATAATTTCAACATACTGATTTCAGTTTATCTCAGTGAATCTCAACAAATATTTTTTACAGAGTAACAGTGTAAAAGGAAAGATCTGCTGAATGTGGGCAACAAACTAGTTATGACAGCTAAAGCATGGTTACACTCAGTGCAAATTTAAATAGATGTTATTTTAATGCAGGAACAATTCATCAAAATTTGCAACTTTTTACTGCTATCAACATAAATAAAGAGGTTTTCTAGACTTCATGATTTCACAAAACATAAAATATTCAGTTCTTAGGACTCTGCAATATTATTATGAAACAACATACAAAATAAATTACTGCTACTATTTAAAAGATGTTAACAGTTGCCTGACTGTAAAAAACTGTGCTGAATATTGTTGTGCATAGAAAAGGTATTCCAGGTAATGGGAATGTCTGTGAGTTTAATATCATATTCTTCATTTGCAGTACCATTCACTCCTGAATTTCTGAAAAGGTATTTCAAGTAATTGTTTGTAAGTTTATTACAAATATGCTCTATTCCAGCAAACTACTGATTAACACAATACATAAGAAGTACTCTAGAGAAATATGAATTTACATTTTCCTATTTGTAAAAAGTTAGCATCTGAGGGAACAGAGTTCTACAACGATTGTCTAAAGAAATTATTTTATATACTATTTTAATTATCTTGGCACAAAAAAAGTGTTTCTGTGAAAAGAGCTGATGACAAGACAGGAACAACTTTGGACAGGGGTCCAAACTGCATAGCTGTGAGCACTGAAGTAACAGATACAGATATTTAATTCAACAATATAAAAGACACACAATCATAGAATCATAGAATCTCTCAAGTTGGAAGGGACCCATAAGGATCACTGAGTCCAACTCCCTGCTCTTCTCAGGACCGCCTAAAACTGAACCACATGACTAAGAGCATCGTCCAGATGCTCCTTGAACTCTGACAGCCTTGGTGCCATGACCACTTCCCTGGGGAGCCTGTTCCAGTGACCAACCACCCTCTCAGTGAAGAACCTTCTCCTGATGCCCAATCTGAACTTCCCCTGACACAGCTTCATTCCATTTCCTTGTGTCCTATCACTGGTCACCAAAGAGAGGACATCAGCACCTCCCCCTCCGCTTCCCCCCTTGAGGAAGTTGTAGACTGTGATGAGGTCACCCCTCAACCTTCTCTTCTCCAAGCCGAACAAGCCAAGTGACCTCAGCCGCTCCTCCTAAGTCTTGCCCTCAAGACCTTTCACCACCTTGGTCGCCCTACTCTGAACACACTCTAATAGTTTGATGTCCTTCTTGTATTGAGGCACCCAAAACTGCACACAGTACTCGAGGTGGGGCCACACCAGTGCAGTGCAGAGTAGGACAATTGCTTCCCTTGACCGCCTAGCTATGCTGTGCTTGATGCACCCCAGGACATGGTTGGCCCTTTTCATTGCCAGGGCACACTGTTGACTCATACTCAACTTGCCATCAACCCAAACCTCCAGAGTTCTTTCTGCGGGGCTGCTTTCCAGCCTCTTGTCCCCCATTTTGTATGTATAACCAGGATTACCCCATCCCAGGTGGAGAATCTG